CATGGGTTTTAATTATCAAAATAGCTTTATAAATTAGGTCAGTGCGTAACGCTCCTTTTGAATTGTGAGCGGAAAAACTCGAATTTGTATCTGCACAAAGTGCACCTGTTTCTAACTTGATTGACTCCATTTAATTGCAGTTAAGTTAATGAGTTGGGCATACTTTTACAGTATGTTCAGATAAAATTTAGCTTTTTCGTTTGATTACATTTTTTTTATAAAACAAGCAACCTGAATTATACTGGGAAAGAGTGCTGCATTAAAAAGTTTATTATATTGCTCAGAGCTCAAACAAAAATGTCCAAATTACACTCTGTTCCCCGACATTTATACGATGGTACGATGATACGAAAGTGTTTCTATTGGTTGGAGATCTGTCAATGTCGGAATTGACAGATCTCCAACCAATAGAAACACTTTCGTATCATCGTACCATCGTATAAACGGATGCATGGCACACGGGCTTAATCCGTATCATCGTTTAAAAATAAAAATAACCCGGAAACACAACAAATGCATTCAATCAAGTTGGTCGTCAGTGCAAGTGTAAATATCAAACAGAGACATGCAGGGAGTCCCAGAGGGATACAAAGACCCCCCGACGGCGCAGCGACAATGCTCGCCGAAAACATCTGCTAACACAGACGGGGGGGAAAGTGGCGAAACAAACAGTGTTTTTCGTTTAGGTGGTTATTAGAGACTGGGCGCTGATAGGTGAACACAGTGCGGTAATGGATGCGTTAATATACAGCTCTGCAACTTTGCTCTACCGTATCAAGGCACGGATTTGTTTGTGGGCATCGAACGCATCAGCCGGCCCACTCGATGGTTGCCGCTTAAGACAAAAGACCAATCGAGAACAGAAGCCCCAGGCCCCCAATGGGAGCCCATTGGGCAGCCGAGCGCTTGCATGGGCCGGGCAAAGAAAATTGTTATTAGTTGGTTAAATGGATGTTGACCCGTCTTGGCCTCTTGAGCATTTCGTGATCTCTTTTTAAAAAGCCCCGCACTCAATTCACTTTGAAAATTCCGGAGTGGGGAAACTTCTCGGACTAGGAACGGACCGGAGCGATCCACACACCCAACAAAAAAAATACTTAGAAAACAACATTTATTAACTTTAAGCACAAATCTACTTTCAAAGTTTGTTGGATAATAGTTGCAGTCCGCTTTCATTCGGACACCTAGAATTACAGCTAAAGAAATAAATAGAAACATGCACACACATCAGTTAAATAATGGTGCTATATAACAAAAACCGGAAAGCGTGCACAACCGGCACCACTGCAAGTCAAGACCCAACTGCTCTGACCTCACGAGTAGGCCGAGCCGGTGAGATCCACAGCGGAATGGTCCTCGTGACGTCAGAACAGTCGGGTCTCGACTTGCGGCGGTGCCGGCACAACCTCTGCACCCTTTAGCTCCTTTTAATGAAAATTAAAGCCATATTCCATAGACATAGATACAAATTTGTTTGAAACAAAAAACTAACATTGCTATAACGTAGCTTCAACCTCGGAAAACTAGCCGAGATGCTCCAATCAAGGGTATAATAACATACTCAGATCAACAAAACAGTCCTGACAAAATAAAAGCCAGGAAAAGGATCCAATTTATTCGTCCTTTTTGTTATAAATGACGGCGGATTCGTAGTTCTCCTTGGTCTGGTCCTTGTCGCCCCAGCCCCAAATCTCGTGGCTTCCATCCCCAGTTCGCGTCACTCTCTTTTCAATCATCTCCTTGGACACGGTTTTCAGATCGTAAGCCCAGCCGATTTTCGCAAACAGATTTATGATGGTCAAAGAGAGGTTGATCCTGCCGAACTCGGCTGCTTTGTAGTCCCACGGGAAGGTGTGGTGATAATTGTGCCAGCCTTCGCCGATAGCGAAGAAGGAAACCAGGCGGTTTTCCACAGGGTTGATGAATCTAGAACAGGGTGCGATCCCACCTTTACAAGCTGATTTTCTTTTGATAGCCACGCGAGAGTAAATGTACATTGTAGACCTAATTACCAGCAATTGTTAAGGTAAAAAAACAATCTCAGTCGAGTATCGTAAGATAATTGATCAATTTTGAAGCAATAATACGTTTTTTTTTATAAAGAAAGAGCGTTTAAAGGTGGCATTGCCTTGCAGTTAAGAGTGACAAGGTGAGCGCATCGCGACGTTAGTGTCACACGTCAAAATGGTTTGATATAAGACAGCGCAACACTGGCTACTGTCACGACATTAATGTCACCGTACAAATTCTAAATGAAAGGCATTTTTCGCGGCTTAAGCGGACAAATTATTTTTGGAATAAGAAAAATTTACTGCAAAGCAGCTTTGAAAGCAGTAAATTTTTCTTATTCCAAAAATAATTTGTCCGCTTAAGCCGCGAAAAATGCCTTTCATTAATGTCAGAGTGTGAACCAGCTTTTAGCCTAAACAATGACTGTGTACTTACTTGTCATAAGGTTTTGAACCCCACATGTGGGCAGCAGAATTGACAAGCCACGTGGCATGCAAAGCGCATATGTATCTTAAAATGTTGACGCAGTAGGCATTCATAAAGGTCTCGTTCCAGAGAAGCATCGGGATAATGGTAGGCAGGACAAAGCAAACTATAGGCATAAGAACCAAGAAGTATTTGTGCTGCAACCTTGAACAAACAACGGTAAGTATGTGAACTGAAGACAATCTTTCACTTGGCACCTTAGCAGAGGCTCGGCATACAGGTCAGACATGTCGACGCCCTTGCCCTTATTCTTCACCTCCTGGTGCTTCTTGCACAGCAGCCAGCCCATGTGGGAGAAAAAGAAGCCGCGTTTGGCGTTGTGCGGATCGGCGTCGGTTTCTTGGAATTTGTGGTGCACCCTGTGGTCTCGCGACCATTCAATTACGGAGTTCTGCAAAAAGGATCTGCTTAATACCGGAACGTTTCATCCAGCTCGATGCTCTTACTTGATGAGCCAGGGTCTGGCATATCAGCAGGATCACTTTGAGGGGCCATTTCGCTTTGTACGACCGGTGCGCCCATAGTCTGTGCGCCCCACCGGTGATCCCAAAAGCGCTCATCTGATACAGAAGAATTCCTGGAAAGAAAATTAAAAACCCGATTGATGCAACAAATTAACTTTTACGATATGTACATATGTTCACTGTTGTTATACCGAAAAACGTGTGAAGAACATTCGACGGATCAACATAAGCAAGAACATTGCGGAGATAAATTAAATACTGGCTTACCATAAATGGTGGTGGTCCACATGGCGCTGATAAAGCACAGGTAAAGTCCATAAAGAGCCACTGAGTGCAGAATTACAAAGACGACGACGTTTCGCCACACGATGTCAATAGGACGATCATCCGGCTCGTAGGTGTCTTGAGGGATCTTATCCGTCACGATGTCATCGCACTCATTCAGGGGCCCAGTGGGCAACGAAGGCAGGGGTTGTTTCTCTCTGGGCCTTGGCGGCATTTTGGCGAATTCTCAAAGCTCCTAAATACTAATAATAAAAGCTGCAAAATTAGTTCTAGTGTTTTAATAGCTAGTATATTTCACGGGAAGTAAGCCATTATATACCGAGCACCGAGCACTTTTATAATGGGCCAGGTATTTAATAGCCTTCTCGACCGAAGTAGGTGTATATATAGAATTTTTTGCCACTAACACGGACAATTGCCTAAATTGATTCAATTATGTTTGGAATTTCCCATTAACGTTCAGTTGTCACATTGACAAACTGCCGCAATGTCAGAAACCATAGATTAACTAAGAAACCCATGATACAATGAATACAAAAACTCGATTTTCGTGCCAACATGACGTCACTGGCTAGCACTTTGGTAAAGTGAACAGATGATCCTGTGGAAAGTGGAAAGTTGCATGAGGATATGGTTTGCAGTGTTGTATAGCTCAATGCTTTCAAAATCGCGTTTGGACCTGATTTGGGGTTATTGCGAAGAAAAATACCCTAAAAACGTAATCACAAAATCTCTGATTTTCAGCGTTTTAGCTTGCTGTGTCACATTAAATGTGACAAAGACTAAATAAGCTATATTTAATGACATTTAGCAGACAAAAAAAAACTACGACACGCAGTGACTTCCACTGACGTCACGCAAATCGACGCAAGATCCTACTTTGTATCAAGGGCGGATCCACCATTAAATTCAG